TCGTTTCTCGTTTGCTGGCCATTTTTTCTGGAGTGTGACACAAATGGTGAACATGATACTGCCAAATCAATCAAGAACCAGGATACGGCTGAGGATACGCTGAAACTTTGTAAATCATTCTCTTTTCAATTGTAAACTTTATTCCAGTGTTACGCTAAATACATGTACTAAATACTAAACAAGCGCACATATCGTATTCATTTACAGCATCGGATTTTAAAACAATGACTCGTGGAATCACAAAGAAACTGTTAAGTACGTATTTCACACATTACCGAGGACCGCGGTAGAGACCGGTACAGCGGTAGAGACCCCTAATTATAAGCAGTCCGCGGTTCTCCCCGGCGTTCTGCGGTACACCGCGGTAATGACCGCGGTGCACCGCCCGTTTGATTTCCTACTCTTCCCTTAGTAAATTAAGAATACAATATACATACTGAGCCAACAAACACGCATCTCAATTGGCACTACAGACTGCAAATTGTAAGTATATTTACCTGGTGAGTATAGCCCCATATAAAACATCAGAAATATCATATCTTTGCTGATATACTTGTTGTACGAGATGCTCCGAGAATCCTTTGCACCTGTCAATATTACCAACACCCAATTCCTAAAAACAGACCAGACAAAAATAATGAACAATGTGACTTATGTTTTCTAATCGTGTTCACAAGAGCCCAGGGTCCTGAACATGGAAAATTGCCAAAAAATAGGAGTGGGCCAAAAAGTTGGTAAAAAAGTTGACGTGACATTGCAAAAGTTACAACACATTGCCTGCAGACACCAATTTTTCTCTCATTCAAGCTTTCAATGGGTGATGGGGTAAAAATAGATGTTACCTTGGATGGTGTTGTCATGGCAGTGATCATGGCAGCATTTCTAGCGATGCATCGGTAGTAATAATGTTGACAATCGTCCCAAATGGATTTGGCCTCTGTAACGACTGCACTCCTGAAATGAATAAATCAAGTGAAATGAGCTCGAGCATTTCAGAGAAAATGCTGTTCAACTGAGCATGCGACACCTAAGCATGTGACAAATATGCAAATTAGACCACTCACTCTGACTAAAGTTTTGGGTTCAGTAAACTTGGTACACAGTACACAATGAATTATGAGAAAATTTACACCATCTAGAAAATTGAATTCAATAGCAAAACAAAAAGTGCCACAAAACGGCAATGGTCATTTAATTCAAGAAGAAAAAAGATTTCTATGGTTTTTGTTCAATCCAAACGAAAAAAAATTAATCAGATTATGGTTACTACCGTAAAATATCTAATTGAGGCCGCATGTCTATTTGAAGCCGCACCCCTACTTTGATACAATGTATCATTTCAAAATTAGAAACATTTGGTTCCTTGAAAATACTCTAATTGAAGCCGCCCTGCTTTTCTGAGACATTAAGTGTGTGTTGTTTTCCTGTGCCAGTATTCCAAAATAAACAAAGGTGATTGACATAGATTTATTGTTAGTTTATTTCTGTATGTTGTGTTTCCTGTTGGTGTTTCTTATCCTGTCTAATAAACAAAGACTGCACATGAATGAGTGAT